TTTGCCAGTGCGTCCCCTCATGCCTGAAGGCTATAAATGCTTCAGACAGTAAGTTGCCCTTCAGAAAAATTCAGAAGCAACCATCCACAGTAACCATCTGTATCCTGATATGGTATAAAAAGCCCTTCATTCATGTATTCTTGAGTCCTACCTTGGGATTGCTTCCGCTCCAGTGAAAGCTCTTTTCCAGGGCTGTGAAGGAGAAGAGAAACAGGAGAGCATCCTCCTTACAATCCCCTGAAAATTGCATCCATGCCACCTGGTCACGTTTTCCACTGAGAGGCCTGAAGGTATACCCGGGGGACCAATATGTGAATAAATACAAAATACATGAGGAATTTATACCATTTATGTAAGGATCACAGTTATTTTTCACCCTTTAGTAGATGCCTGCAGAAAGCATGCCACTGATTAGGCTTTTTTTTTTCTTTTTTTCTTTTTTTTCTTTTTAAAGCATCTCACTAAAGGAAAATTAAGATTTTTATTCAGATGACAAAGGACGCCAGTATTGATTTATATATCTTAGCAGTTTTATTCCAGTGACAGGCTGATTGGAAATAGAGGCAGAGGAGACTATCTTTTATTTGTAATTTAACAAGGCAGTTGCTATATTTTATTGCGTTGTCTATGTATGATTAGAAATGTCTTAAGATAGTGGTTCCACAGCTGCTTTTGGGTCCCCTTTGATAATCTGATGAAAGGTTATAGACCTTCTTCCCAGAAGAATGCCCTTACAAATTCACGTACATTTTTATATGTAATTTCATAGATGCCAGCATATGGCTTTGTTCTTCTGAGTATAGTGTTTATTTTTAACCAATATGGCTTCTTGTTAAATAAATTCCTTTTTTCATTCATCAAGTATTTTTTGCACACTTGCCTCAAGCCAGGTCTGGATACAGTATGAACAAGACAGGCCAGGACTCTGGCCTCATGGAGCAGCAAACAAACATCACGTTCCAGAATTACGTAACGCTATCTTAATGATAAGTGCTGGGAAGGAAAACATGCTACTAAAAGAGAGTATTCGGGGTACTGTTTTGTATAGGGTGGATTCCTATTGCTGCTAAAGTGAAATGGGAACTTTGAAGGCAAGAAATAAAACACGTCTCTGTTGGGATCTTAAATATAAAATCAGAATATTAGAATTGTAAGAGAGCATATAGTTTTCCCACCTTGTTCCACAGATGGACCTATAAGCCCTAGAGGCTGGGTCTGGTGAGAGCTGGGACGGGTTCTGTAGCCCCGGCTGGCGCCCTGAGCTGGTCTGTATGCTTGTGCTGGCCCGTCCGCTCTTGGGAGCGTTCACCCAGCTGCAGCCCAGCCAGGCGAGGACCACAGCTCCAGCCATGTCTTGCTTCTGTTCTGATGTTTGGCTCCCAGGGCCACCTCACGAGAGAAATTATTCGCTTCAGCGTTTTCTTAAGATTGAGATTAACATATTACTCAAGTGGAAAATGTAGAAACACATTCGATCTGATGCTACTGAAAATGACAAGAACTAACTGTGTTTGCAGAAATGGAGCAAAGGGAGCAGGTAGAGCTTAGAATTTTGAATGTGCTATGGCTGTTCATCAGCAGTTCACTTAACAGGTTGCAGAGCTGTGGGAAGAAGTGGTCTGTTGTTCCCTTGTGAGGCTTGGTTTGATGTGCTTCTTTCTGATCGTAATTCTGCACCCTTTCTTTTCTTTGAAATGTTTCACTCCATAGTGTTTGAGTGCCTCCTGTGTGATGGCCACTAGGGGTGCAGTGATAACCCAAGCAAACATGGTCCCTGCTCTCACGGAGTTTCTGGTCTAATGGGGAAGGGAGACATTACTAGAAAAATCACCTTGGTGGCCACATATTTACAGCCTGATAGAAAGGCTATAAAGAAGAGGAAAAGGGAAACATTTCTACAACACATGTAATTACGAAAGGACTCCAGACTGGTGGGGCTGCAGTGCTTCCCTGGAAATGACGCTTGAGCTAAGAAACTGAACAGTGGGGTGTGGTAGAAACATTACAGAAGGAGAAAGAGAACAGGCAGGGTGTGGCGGTTAAGGCTGAGAGAAGCAGAGCACAGAGTTAGGAGCTAGGATTGGGGAGAATTTGGACGTGGAGGGTGAGGCAGATCAGTCCTGGGTTTCTGGTTTGTGCAACCAAACGGACTGTGGTGCCATTCACAGCAGTGACATCGGGTGTGGCACAGGGATCCTGTAAGTCAAGTGACAGTAAGAAGTCAGATAGGCCGTTGGTTATCGGGGTCAAGGGCTCATTGGAGGGGTTTGAGTCAGATGAAAATGCACATGTCACTGGTTGTTGCTCTTTACTGTGCTTTATACAAGCGAATTATTAATAAAAATGTGGAGTTCTCTGAGATCCCTCAGAGCTCTCTTTCTAATGAGTTCAATAGAAAATGTCAAATTATTCTCTTATCTGTAGCAAAAGTTTATCTTTAGTAAATGTGGATTTACCTGTATTTGCAAAATGTTTACATTCTGTTCTAGTGCTTTGCTAGCAAGCGTGTCAACCTTCATATATTCATTTGTTCTCCAGGGGAGAAAAAGATGCGTTAGTGAACTGGAAACATGTTCATAATGTATTTAATGTAATAGACTTTAAACAAATGTTTCTTTTCTCCAGATTTGACCTTGAATTTGTTCTCTCAGTACCTACTTCTGAATGGAACGGCAAACGGGGATACATTTCACCAGCTCTGCTTTCTGAATTTTTGAAAAGAAGTTTAGACACATCCAAAGTCCTCATCTGCATTTGTGGACCAATGCCATTTACAGAACAAGGAATGAAGTGAGTAGCAACGTGGTAGGAGAGAGAATCCCAGCACCGTGAAATGACGACCTCCTATAAACAGCAGTTGACATGGCTCTCATTTCTTCCTATTCATATGAACACGTACTTCAATAGTTTGTCACAGTATAAGAAAATAATAACAAAGTGTTTAATCTGCGTGCCGGTGAAGCGTCGGAGGCCCGGATTATGCACAGAGTTAGACGTGAACACAAAAGTCAGACACAGCCAGCTCTTGGTGGCCTCTGGTAGTGGCTGGTCGTGTGGACGCTTTCACAAGATTGGTGCCAGATAGTTTTGGGGACACTAGATTCAACCTCCTCTTCCACCAAAGCTTCATAATATATAATAATTTTTTAAAAATATAATAAGCAGTGTTCATCTCATTGTAGCTTTTGATCTTCCATCATTCTCTGCAACTGGGTGAGCATTAATCGATAACACAGTGAGAGAAAGCCAAACAGCAAGACAAAAACCAGAGACTAGAACATAAATAAGGCAAGACCAAGAGTTGAATTCCGCACAGAGAACAACCAGTGGTGGTGACCATCTTATTTAAAAATCACCTTGATCTTACTTAACTCTAAAACGACACTCTAAAATATTTGGTTACATATAGCCACTACTGGCTTTCTAGATGACTTTAAAATATGCCTGCCTTAAATGCCCTGCATTTCCTTGTTTGGTATGTGACTGAACCTAACATTTGCTAGGTAATTTTCTCTCTTGCTATTTTATTTTTAATTTTAATTATGAAAAAGACAGGCGGTATGTCCGGAAAGGTAGGTTGGGTTCAGATAGTGAGAGGTTTGCCTGCTGCACCACGTTGGCCCTCGTAACTCCTGTGCCGTCCTGTCGTTTTGTCTGAATGTGCGTGTCAGCTCTGGAAGCTGCCACTTTGGGTTGGTATCCCAGCTCCACCACTTAGGGTCATGCTACAATCATCAGCTAAGTGTCCTAGGGCCAAAACCATCTAAGCTTTCGTGTACTCACCTATCCGAGGGAATAGATGATAATATTGATGCATGTGAAATGCTTAGCACAGTGACTGCAAAGAGTGAGTACGAAGGAAATGTTTATTATTTTCAGCAGCATTTTATTTATTTTTTTTTCACCTCCTTTTTTTTTTTTTTTGGCCATGCCACATGGCTTGCGGGATCTTAGTTCCCCAACCAGGGGTTGAACCCATGCTCCCTGCAGTGGAAACGTGGAGTCCTAACCACTGGACCTCCAGGGAAGTCCCCTTCAGCACTATTTTAAACAGAGCTACTTTTAAGATTTCAGTCTCCATTTACAGTATTCTCCAAGTTGAATTATACTTAAGCAGTATTTCTGTTTCTCCTGTTCAGTGGGGGAAAATTACGATAGAATGCTAGGGGATCAAATCCTTACTTCAAAACCTGGTGAATAAAGAGGAAGAAAACCGGCATTTATTCTGCCTTTTCTGTATGAGTTATACTACTGGATAACCACATAATAGATGAGCAGAAGTTATTCTTTATAGAATTCCTCGGCTGATAAACGAATAAAGAATGATAGGAGTAGAATATCACCAACTTCGGTCCCTAATGAAACTAGTAGATATGTACATAGATCACCAGTGGTGGTTAGCATCCGAAAAGAGAGGCAACCCGGTATTATGTGCCTCCTGATGAAAGAGCACTATGAAGTAGTCTTGTCAAAAAGAATTGAACCTGTATCTGATTAAGCCTCTCGATCCAATTATTAAATTTTGGGAGATAAAAGGAAAAAGGAACATTATTAAAGTAAACCACAGGGATGCAGCAAAATGAGAACTGTGGGAGACTCAACACTTAAAAATCTCATTTTGTCAACAAATAAATTGAAGGACAGAGAGAGAGAGAGAGAGTTGGAGGGGATGTTATAGATCAAAAAATACCCAAAAGAGGGGCTTCCCTGGTGGCACAGTGGTAGAGAGTCCGCCTGCCATTGCAGGGGACACGGGTTCGTGCCCCGGTCCGGGAAGGTCCCAGATGCCGCGGAGCGACTGGGCCTGTGAGCCATGGCCGCTGAGCCTGCGCGTCCGGAGCCTGTGCTCCGCAACGGGAGAGGCCACAACAGTGAGAGGCTTGCGTACCGCAAAAAAAAAAAAACAAAAAAACAAAACCCAAAAGACATATAAACCAATCACAGTGAGTAGACTTTAATTGGATCTTGATTCAAACAAACTTTAAAAAATTATGGCATTTATGAGACAATTGAAAATGTGAACACTTACTAGATACTAGATGATATTAAGGAATTATTGTTAATTTTTTAGAAGTGATAATTGTGTTTTTTAGAAAACACATGCTAAATGGGGAAAATGAAAAAATACTATGGTTACGATGGTAAACTCTGATCTTGTTTATTTTTAAACATCTTCCCTAAGAAACATGTGCTTTTTATTTGTTTTTCAGGTTGCTGCATGATTTGAACTTTTCCAAAGATGAGATCCATAGTTTTACAGCATAATGAAGAGCCGTCATTCAACTGTTTTAGCGAAATTTGTGATTACTTAGGGTTTTTTAAAAGAACATTTTTGTACATAGGTTAACTAGAATCCAGGTTTTAGTTTCTTAAATTAAATCAAATGTTTCTTCACTATAGATACCTTGTTGACTTTATTTTGTACCATAACTTATTTTACTACTGATATTTGTCCTGGAAGGTCAATCGTGGCAACAAGTATATAGAGGATTCTTTGTTACGAATCACAAAGTTCCTTACCATTTAAACTGTATCACTGTTCTACAATAAGCTCTTGTGTTTTATGACATGATAAAGCAAATGATCATTTTGATCACATTTCTATGCTGTAAGATGTCTGATTAGCAATACAGATTAAATTTTACATTGCACTGTAAACTCAGGAAATGATCATTTATGTCCTTGTTCTTACTATGAAAACATGGAATGTTATAACTTAAGTGATCCAAACATTTTGTGCGTCTGTGGCCTTGATACAGAGTAGAATAAAAAATATTCTGAAGTACTTTTTAATCTTTGTGGTAGAAATGTGTTTGAGTGCAACAGTGTGGGTGAGTGTCTGCGGGGAATTTTAAAAGCAGCAATAAAAGATTCTGGAGACACTTCACACACGCAGCTTTGGAGTATATGTGTTTAGAAAGTTTAAGACAACCTTGACAACTATTTTGATTCTTAGCCAAAACTAGAGGCATCAGGAAAGATAATGAAAGTATAGCATCTGGTCTCATGGTCTAAAATAATCATTTGGTGCTTTGGAATAGGTTAAATTTGAATTCTTTTTGAGCCCATCTAGGCCAGCTGGGCAAATGAGGGACACTCCATCCTAAACGGTACCTTCCCTGGCGGGCTGCTTGCCCCACAGCTGGCGGTTCAGCAGGGAGCCCTCCTAAGCTCTGCTGTGTGGGCATCTTATTCTCTCTCCCTGCTGCTGTGTGCAGCCTTCAAAAGCTTCCACAGATTGGGATTCTGCAAAGGGTATCAAGAAAAGCCACTGTATATACTACCAAGTGTAAAACAGACAGCTAGTGGGAAGCAGCCGCATGGCACAGAGAGATCAGCTCAGTGCTTTGTGACCACCTAGAGGGGTGGGATAGGGAGGGTGGGAGGCAGGGAGATGCAGGAGGGAAGAGATATGGGGACATATGTATATGTATAACTGATTCACGTTGTTATAAAGCAGAAACTGACACACCATTGTAAAGCAATTATACTCCAATAAAGATGTTAAAAAAAAAAGAAAAGCCATTGTGAGCTTTTCCTGAGGAAACTGTTGGATGCATAGGTGGCTATGTGTAAGCCAACTCAGATTTTACAGCCGTATTCAGGATGGCAGCATTGCTTTTGCTTTTACAGAAATCGGGGTGTGGGGAGTCTCCAACTCCCCTGTAAACGATTTGGTAAATAGCTAAGTCTTCACTGAATGAATGGTGTACTCAGGAGGAACACAACATTAACATTCCTCAAATTACAAACCCCCAGCCCAGGAAGCTCCCCAGGTGCGAGTGGCTGGATCAACACTTTCTTCTTTCCCTGCGTCTCCCTCCTCCATGCACAGTCATTCACTCAGGCCGGAGGTGGCAATGCTCCCTGTGGCTAACAGGAACATTTTCTACCTCTGCCTTCCTACCACCTCTTTTTTTCTCCCCTAAGATCATGAACTTTCCAGGCACACCTTTTTTTGTAGTTTATTAGTAATATATCTGTTAATTCTACCTCAGCCAGCTCTCTCCTCTTTTCTACCCTCCTTTTTCCTCTCTCCTCCAAACCCATTTCTAATTACCTCCAGGTTACTCCCTTCCTCAGTCTTCTTACTGTATTTTAAAGCAAAAGAAAACCCATGAGCATCTTCTGAACGTGTATGTTAATAATTCCCAAATTGGCATCTTTGAGAATCAGCTGAGCTTCAGTTTTCAATATCCAGTTACCACCTGGGTGTTCCACAAGCCCCTCAAATTCAATAGATCCCAAACTAAGCTTTTGCCGTGACCATCTTGTAACCAAACCAGGTTAATGTTTGGCTGATGTCCAGCAAGCCGAAACGCTGAGACGCCAAGGATTGCAGCAAAGAGAGGGTTTATTTAAAAGGCAGCCGGGTGAGAAGACGGGAAAACAAGTCTCAGATCCGCCAAAGGGCTCAGGGGAATTACGGGATAATGAACGAAGAAGCAGGGCCGTCTGAGGCGTGGGGAGCGTGGGGAAAGGTGACCGGGAAAAGGTGGGGGGTGATTGTTGTTCTGCGCAGGCGTAACGAGGCTACAGGCTTCTGCACGTTCAAGAGTGGAGGCGCTTAGCACGAGCTGAGGGTGGAGTTTTCGACCCTCTGGCGTCAGAAGGTCCCTGCGTGACCACTCATGTGTGCCCATTTGGAGGGTCAGTGGTCCTATCCAGTGTTAACCAGCCGAGCTCCAACTAGACACAGCTGACTCCAAGTTCCTGGAAAATAACTCGGGCAGATACATACCTTATTGTTTAGGCTACATGCCGCTTGGAGGACATGCAAAACCTCCTTGATCAGTGAAGGCAGCTGAAGTGGATTTAAGCAAACCCATGGTTTCAGTCTCTCCCAGGTCTATTCCTCCTCTTGAATTCTCTGATTTACTGGTGCTACCTTCCACCTAGCCAGCCCTTCTAGAACTATTCGGGATCAGTGTCTCCCTCTCCAATCTGATTCCTCCATACCAGCTAGCCCTGCCCTGTGGTCCCTCAATCACCTCAGTACAATAGCCCGACAACTGGTCTTCCTATTGCAGGTTTTTTTTTTATTCCTATTGCAGTCTTGACCTCACTGAAATCCATTCTCTATTCCAGTGTTGCTAGAGGGCCTTAGAAACTCCCCTAAATAGAGCCTCAGTCTCCCATTTAATACAGCCGTATACTGAGGAGCGCAGAAGGGAGTATGGATTGTAACTATTATTCTTGAGCAAAGCGCTCCAAGGCTCCTACGTCCTGTATTTGCAATAAGAAAATTGGAATTATACTCAAAGTCACTTTTCCTTGAGAATTCTGCTTGCTTACTTCCTTTTTAAAAATGTGTTTCTATGTCAGTTTTGTATCAGTTTTCTATTTCTGCAAGGACAAATTACTGTGAACTTCCAGGCTTAAAACAACACACATGTATTCCATGGCTCAGAGGTCTGGGCCCAATAGGGCTCAGCTGGGTCCTCTGCTGAAGACCTCCTAAGGCTGAAATCGGGTTGTCCGCTGGGCTGGACTCTTCTCAGGAGGTGCTGGAGAATGTTTAGCTTCCAGGCTCCTTCAGGTTGTTCGTAGAATTCCGTTCCTTGAGGTTGGGGTTCCCCATTTCCTTGCTAGCAGTCAGCTGGGGGCCAGTCTTTGCTTGTATAGCTGCCCATGTCCCTTCTCATGCTATCTGTGTGGCTCGCCCCAGCACTGGTAGATCCAGCGTGTCTCATGCTTTAGATCTCTGCATTTCCCTTCTGCTACAGTCTTTCTTCCCCCTGCTGGAGAAAGTTCACTGCTTGTAGGCGCTCATGCAATTAGATGGGGCCCGCCCAGGACTACCTGGATAATCTCCTGATCTTAAAACCTGTAGTGTTACAGCTGCAGAGTCCCTTTTGCCATTTAATAGAGCATATTCAAAGTCTTCAGGCGTTAGGGTGTCGACGTCTTTGGGGGACCGTTCTGCCTACCACAGTCTGAAGAGGACAGAGAAACTTGTCCAAGGTAAGATAATTGTATTTTGTCTAGAGCTCGCTATGGGCCCTCAATTTTCACCTTAATGTGATGGAGGAGTGAGAGATGCTTTCCACGCCTGGTGAAGGCTTGACTCCAGCTTCCTCTGTGGTCTACCTTCTCTGCCACATAAACTTGTCCTAAACTAGTTTGGGGCTGTGTCTGTTGATAGCTGCAGACTCCCACCTTTGGGCAGATGACCCAGTCTCTGTTTGGTCTACGATATTTAGAATGGCGGCTAATTGGTTAAAAAGGAAAAGTGAAACCTCAGCCAGCCCCAGTCTCTTGGTGTCTTTCTGCTTTGGTTTTTTTTGGGGTTTTTTGTGTGTTTTTAATTGAAGTATAGTTGATTTACAGTGTTGTGTTAATTTCTGCTGTCCAGCAGAGTGATTCAGTTATATATACACTCCTTTTCATATTCTTTTCCATTATGGTTTATCACAGGATATTGAATATAGTTCCCTGTGCTCTACAGTTGTTTATCCTTCCCTCCCACACCCTCCCTCCCCCTTGGCAATCCCAAGTCTGTTCTCTCTGTCTGCCAGAATGCCAGAGTCACCTATCTGAAATACAAAAAACATGTTTTCTCTCCTGGTTAAAGTTCTCTTCTGCTGCCGGGTCCGCACTCATGGAATGGAGGCTCCATCCTGGGGGGCAGCACACTGAGCTCGGGGCCCTGGTAATGTGGCACGGGTTCCACACCCGGAGAGCAAGCTGAGGGGACTTCAGGCCACTGCCCCCGGCCCTCCAGCAAGTGCTCAGCTCTTAGGAAGGGTGTCACCCTTCCTAAGGGTGTCACGAGAGAAGCTTCTATTGTCCCCAGAACATTCATGCCCAGGTCTTTCTGTGGACGTATTTTTTCATTTCTCTTGGATAGATACCTGCAAATGAAATTGCTGAGTCATGTGGTAACTGTACATTTAACTTTTTTTTAAACCCTATTTTATTCTGTGTATATTTCTAGATCTAGTGCTGAGACATATACTAGTTAGATAGTCATGCTTTTGAATGTACAGTTTCAAACTTTTAAGAAAATGCCAGGTTGTTTTTTTTTTGCCAAATTGGTTGTACCGTTTTACACTCCTGCCAGCAAGCACTGTATCAGAATTTCAATCCTTCCACATCCTCAACAACCTTGAAGTATTAATCTTTTAAAAGTTAGTGTGTAGTGGTATCTTATTGTGATTTTAATTTGCATTTGTCTGATGTCTGTTGACGTTGAACTTGTTATCATATGCTTATTGGCCACTGGTATATTGTCTTTTGTAGGGTTTTAATCTTTTGCCTTTTTTTTTTAATGTCGGTTCATTGGTTTGTTTATTTATTTATTTTTGACTGTGTTGGGTCTTCGTTTCTGTGCGAGGGCTTTCTCCAGTTGGGGCAAGCGGGGGCCACTCTTCATCGCGGTGCGTGGGCCTCTTGCTATCGTGGCCTCTCCTGTTGCAGAGCACAGGCTCCAGACGCGCAGGCTCAGTAGTTGTGGCTCACAGGCCTAGTTGCTCCGCGGCACGTGAGATCTTCCTAGACCAGGGCTCGAACCCATGTCCCTTGCATCGGCAGGCAGATTCTCAACCACTGCGCCACCAGGGAAGCCCTTGCCCATTTTTAATTGGATTGTTTTTCTTATTGTTATTAAATTGGAAGCATTCTTTGTACATCTAGATACAAGTCCTTTTTCAGATGTTTCACGAATATTTTCTTCCATTGTGTGACAGCAAATCATATGGAGTGCTTAGGGCAAGAATAAGCTTGGGTACAAATCAATTTAAATTAAGAGTGTAAACTAAATAACAGTGCAGGAGGCAGCTGTGAAGTTGATA